ATGGGTTTTGACTTCTCGACACTTACACCAACCCACTGTTGAACACGCTGTCAGCTCTAGGTGGCCCAAAGCCGGGTGGTCAGCCGCGGGGACGAGGCCTGGGCTGCTGTGAGGCCTGGGCTGTGCCTGGCGAGGAGCTCCAGGGGTCGGCCCGAGCCGCCAGGTGGGAGCTAATAACAATGTGAAGTCTGGGGTTCAGGTTCCAAGAGGAGACTATGCGGGATGAGAACAGACACCTGCCCGATTTCTGCGTGTGCAGCCTCACGTCCCGTGTGGACACGGACCCACACGGGTCTGTCGCAGTGGCAGAGGCTGCTGGGGACTCGGCTGTGGCACCACCGGCAAAGGGGAGGGTGTGGGGCGACAGGACATCCACGTGCTGGGAGGGGCCGGTCCTGTGTCCCTGGGGAAGCAAGATCAACGGGGGAAGTGGCTATCAAACCTCATGGGCTTGTCATGTAGAAGCCACAAGACATAAAGAAGAAGGGTGGCAGCCAAGGCCAGGCTCGGAGCAGGAGACATGACAAGGGAAGTGGACCTGGGTTCAAAGTGACAAGGAATTGTCTTCCCACCACACACGGCACCGAATCGGCCGCGGGCGGTGTTGGCGTGGAGCTGGCCGGCCCCTCCACGCCAGGCCGAAGGGCCGTAGGGCGGGGAACACGCCCCCCCGCTGCGCCCCCCCCCCCCCCCCGTGCCCGGCGGTCCCCACAGGTGAGTGGGCTCGGAACCAGCCCCGCCTGAGGCTCGGAGGGGACGAGGGGGAGCCCAGGCAGACCCCCATCCTGTCCTGGGCCTGCAGAGAGGGGGCCGGGCGGCCTGTGTCCACGCGAGGCGGCTGCGGGCAGGGGGCGGCGGGAGGGGGACTTGAAGGGGGCACAAGAAGTCGTCACCTTCCGAAATGAAGCCACAGCGGCTCACGCGCAGGTCCGCGGACACAGCTCGCACCTTGGGCCGCTGCGGTGAGGCCGCCTCCCCGCCGTGGCGCATTCCCAACGCGGCTCTGCCCATGGGCCGCTTTAGCGTTTGGGACCCAGCTCCGAGAACATTAGAGCCAGGCCCGGCAGGGCCACCCAGCCCCAAGAGGCCTGGGAGGGGCAGGGCTGGCACCACGACCCTGCAAGCCCAGGGACCCTGAGGCAGAGGCGGCTCCGAGTCTCTGGTGAGTCCTGGTCAGACACCAGTTTGGCAAAAGGAGTTCGTGGCCAAGCCCCGCGGCCACCCGAGGAGCCTCACCTCTGCCCTGCGCCCCGAGCCACCGTCCTCTTACCTCCCCGGGCACTGGCAGGAGAACGGATGGCCTCGGTGACACTCATAGCAGGAAGTCTGCAGCGAGACCCTGGCTGCTCCTCGAGCGGGCGCGGCCTCCCTGAAGGTCGCCTGCGGCAGGCTGCCCTGAGGCCGCCTGGGGAGCGCCAGGCCCCGGCAACCTGCCCCACTTTTAGGTTCCCAAGGCCTGCACGGTCCGGCCCTGGCACCATCGGCCCAGGTGGGAGGGGACGGGGACGGGCTAGCCAGGAGCCTGGGCTGCGCAGGAGGACGGTGCAGAGCCCCCAGTGCTGCTCAGACGGGCGCCCACACCCCCGGCCACAGAACCCCGGGCCCGCACGGTGGGAAGCAGGCTGCACGCGGCAGACAGACGGGCTCGGACAGCCTCGCCACCAGCGACCCGGGGCCCAGACACTGCCCTGAAGGCCTCTCGGGCCTCCTGTCTGCCTCCCCCACTGCCCTGGCCCAGGGTCTCTGCTTGGGTGCCTTCCGCCTGGAGCAGCAACCAGATGCTGGCTTTCGAAGGCCAGTGACAGCCCTGGGGAAGAAGGCCGAGGGGACTCTGCCAAGCAGGAGACAATGGCAGGGACAGGTGTGTGGCTCCAGGCCTCTGCCACCTCCCCCGTCTTCCCTTCTCAGGGCTATAAATACTCACGGATGCAAATGGTAAATGCTCCAAGACATTTATCATAAATTACAGGTGGATGATTGTGAGTTTTTAGGTCTGGAGGCCTCTGGGGGAATATTTCAGTTCTTTAAAAGAAAAAAAGAAGAAAGTAGCTTGAGGGGGTGTCCATGTACAGCTGGCTGGCCTGGCAGAGGCTGGGCTGTGGGGTGCAGGGGCAGGGAGCCCTGTGGCCGGTGGCGTGGCTCGGAAGGAGCGAATGAGGACATGGGCCAGGTCCAGAGTGACCCAGAGCCAAGAAGGAGCCAGACGCTCGCCCCTTCTGCTGGGTCAGGACGTTATTCCATGAGTAGGCATTACTTGTATTAATTTTTTAACCACTTCGGTACGAGCGTCGGCTACAGTCGACAGCCACAGACGAGCGCGCACAGCCGAGCGTCGACGTTAGCGTTAATAGCAAAACTCGACTTTTCTAATTTTTCATTTATCAAAATAAAATTGTGAACATTTAAAAATAACATATTGAAAACAGATATGTCTATGTTACCTATTCTGATTTACACTACAAGGAAAGCTGCCTGTAAAGTAAAACAAGCTTTCAGTGCTTTCAAGCTTTCCTCATCACACAAGAGCAAAATGGGCTCGTCGTCAACGCACAGCACGAGCCACCGTGCGGACTGCGAGCGCGGCTGTGGCGAGGTGTCGCGCGGTGAGCGCCGCACCCAAGTGGTTAAATGAGCAATTTAAAAAGAGAACAGGCCGGGCACGGCGGCTCACGCCTGTAATCCTAGCTCTCTGGGAGGCAGAAGCAGGCAGATTGCTCAAGGTCAGGAGTTCAATAACCAGCGGCAGAGCAAGACCCGTCTCTACTTATAAATAAAAAAATTAATTGCATAATATATATAGAAAAAATTAGCCGGGCATGGGTGGGATGCCTGTCATCCCAGCTACTGTGGGAGGGCTGAGGCAGGAGGTTGTTGAGGCCCAGGAGTTTGAGGTTGCTGTGAGGGGCAGCAAAGCAAGACTCTGTATGAAATGAAAATAAAATAATAAATAAATAAAATAAAATAAAATAAAATAAAATATAAAAAAAATAAAATAAAATAATAAAAAGAGAACAGTGATTTTCCAACACTTGGTATGTGGCTCTTCCGTAATCTTCCATGCACCTGCCCCTCACCCCAGCCTTAGCCCAGCACAAAATCCTGGCTGGGGGGACATGGGCCTGCGTGTGCTGGAGTGTGCTCAGAGGTGCACCCAGGAGGCCAGGAGCAAGGCACAGCCACTCTGCTGCCTGCTGGAAGCAAGGCACCTGTAACCGCCCTCGCCACGGAACAGATTTCGATGCCTCTCCCTTAACTACTGACCTTTGAGTTGTTTCCCAGAAATGGTGGATCTTCTGCAAGACAAAGGGTTGAGACTCTGAAGACCCCTGGGCAGACTCCTGATGCCAAGGCTCACCCCCCCACAACCTGCCCCCATGCATGTAGCCCCTGGTTAGTTACACACGGCCTGCCCCACGGCACGTGGCCCTCCTCTAACAGCCCACGTCTCCCTTAGTTGGGGAGACAGATTTGAGACAGCTTCTCCTGACCTGCTGATGTCTGTCGCATTAAAAATTCCCTTCTTCCTTGGCAACCCTCCTTGTCTTTGTGCAACACGCAACTAGACCTAGACCGAAAGCCCCTGAGGTTTCGATAATACCACACACAGACCGTGAGGACAGAGGACCCCTGGGCCTCTCCTGCCTCCTCAGCCCACCTGTGCTGGCCTCACTCTTCCCACCCCCTTTGTCATCCGCTCTGCAGACCACCAGGCCCTCAGAATCCTGGGACCAGGCAGGGTCTCAGTCTGTGTTAGGCAGGGAGATAGGAGTGTCTATGGGGGCGTCTGGTTGTCCCTCCAGCTAAGCCAGCAGTCCCCAACCCTTTTGGTACCAGAGACCTGTTTCATGAAAGACAATTATTTCCACACCCCGGGCGGGGCGGTGGGGGGGATGGTTTTAGGGCGCATTACATTTACTGTGGAGTCAAACCTCTCCGCTAATGATACTCTATTTCCAGCCGCTCCCCAGCGCCAGCATCCCCGCCTCAGCCCCGCCTCAGATCAGGCCTTGGATTCTCACAAGGAGTGCAGCCTGCGTCCCTCCCATGCGCAGTTTGCAGTGGGTGCCTGCCCTGTGAGAATCTCAGGTCACCGCTGATCTGACAGGGGGCGGAGCCGGGTGGCGATGCGAGTGACGGGGCGGGAGGGTGGGGGTGGGGGTGGTGGTGGGTGGTGGGTGGGAGGGTGGCCGTAAACACAGATGCTTCCTCACTAGCCCTCTGCTCATCTCCGTGGACCGGAGCGGGCTGGTCGGCAGGCTGGGGGTTGGTGACCACAGGTCTAAGCCATTCCCTTCTCTCTTTTCCGGAAACTCCAGAGTAAACGCCAGGCACCAGGATGACTTGTAATTTAATATCATAATAATAAAACCCATGGTGGTACAGAACCACGAACTGCACTGGAAATTCCTAGGGCCACTAATGAGCACTGGGCTCCCGCTGGAACTGCTGTCAGGATAAACATGCAGAATCAATCGCTGCGGCCACAAAAGTAAATGGAGCATGGCCTGTGCCCGCCGCCACCACCGCCTGGCCACTGCGGAGGAGCTGGTCACCGCACAGAAGGCCGGGTTCGGATACAACACCGGGCAGCAAATGCTAATGAGGAGAAACTCCTGGAAGGAGGCAGATTTAATTTTCATTTCCTCTTTGACACGTTTCTTCCCTGTCCAAAGGGAGGTTCTTAAATGAAGTCTGCAACAGGGAACACTCCGTTTATTGCCAAGTGGCCTCAGCGCGAGGAACGCTCTACTTTTTATTGCAGATTTTACCTTTTTTTCCCCTTGGCTCTAGATTATCGTCTAGATTAAAAAGAAGGTGAGGTTGACTGGGTCGCAGCCGTCTGAACAGCAGTTTGACAATTGGGGCGACGGAGTAACTGCTGAGCAATTTTTTGCACAATTCAAAAACTCATTTTTTTTTTGCCAAGGAATCAGTCTAACAAACACATCCCTTTCTTTTCCCAGCTCTTCTAGGAATAAAACACTTTTTAAATGTATTTGTCAGGAATCAACACTTCATTTAATAAGATTTAAAAAGTGACAATTTAAAGAGCAATGGAGAAGAGTCCCACATCCATCACAGCACATGGTTCTAACTAAAATCAGAAGAATAAAAACAGAAAAAGCACTCAGAAAACGGGAGAACAAGTGTGCGTGTGTATGTGAGAGAGAGATGTCTGCACAGCTGTTTTGTTCTCATCCATGTCGCAAGTGCTCGCAGCAAGGCCTGCCTCTAGGACTGTCCCGCCGGGAGCCAGCTGCTGGGACCCCACCCCAAATGGCCCTCCCAGGAGCTGCCAAAGGTGACTTTGAAGGCTTCCCCCAAAAGCCCCAATGAAGTTTTCTTTCTACTCTCCCAAAAAACATGCTAAGAAATGAAGGGCGGGGGTGGGGGAGTTCTGGCAACACCCATTTCTGGGGGCCGTCTGGGGACCTTTCTTGCCCTCTCATCCCCGTTACCTGGAGACGATGGCCTCGCCCTGTGTCTGCTGTGACACACCTTGACTGTGGTGTCCCGGCCCCGCTGCGTGTACGAGAGCCTCCTGCCCCGAATCAGAAAGCCCATCAAGGCACCCGCGCGGCCCGGCAAGGGAGCAGAGACCAGGCCTCCGTCTGAGTGAGTGGCAGCCACAGCGGGGTGGGGTGTGAGACCTGCCCTCGGTCCTTCCCGCTGACGTCCCGCCCCGCTGTCCCCTTACTTCTCTTTACCTGATAATAAGGGGCATCTCTAAAGTGCTGGAAGACAGAAGGAAGCTGCCGAGGCCAGGAGGGGGCAGGAGCCGCCGCTGTGGCCTGGGCCAGGCTGCGCGGTGCGTGCCTCTGCCGGCCTGTGCCAGCCACCCCTCGTCCCCGGGTCAGAAGAGCGCTCCAGGCCCGGGGCCCCTGGACAGGCAACTTCTACGTCCAGAAAGAAGTCCTTGAACCGATCTTTCGAGGCATTTGAACTCTGCCCTCGCTATGCCTGATCTGGCCCTGTCCCATCTGGGCAGGGGATGCCGTGTGAGGGCGTGCTGAGGGGCAGGAGCTCTGTGCTAGCCGGTGACTGCTGGGTGCTGACGGGCAGTGACGTGCAGGAGGCCCCACGGCCGGCGGACGCCCCACCATCTGCCATTTGTCCCTGGAACCTCTTCTCATTATGGAATGCCTGGTGCGGCTGGGGGAGACGTCCGCTCACCCACACGCAGAGCCGGGGGAGGGAGGGGACCGTGGCTTCTGCCCCCAGGAGCAGCTGTCCCCCACCCAGGGACCCTCTGTGTGCTGCTGCTGTGCTCACGCAGAAAGACAACCGTTCGTTTAATCACGCAGTTTGACGCCACCCCACTATTGCAACACGGGTAAATCACTCGACACTAAGTTAAACTAGGAGAAAACAGCTGACCCGCTGGCTCTTCCTGCACCCCCAGCCAATGTGTCTTTGAGACGCCAGAAAGCAGGCCCGGAGCCCTCACCCCTGCTCCCAGCAGGGTCGCAGGACCACCGAGGACCCCGTGACCCCTCTTGGCCACACTGTCCGGAGGCGGCGGGAGTCTGGGGACAGCAAGAGGGCAGACGGTGGCCGAGCAGTGACCAGGGCCAGGTGCACTGGGATAGAGATCACAGAGGCAGAGCCAGACGGAGCTGCAGCAGTCACACGAGACCCTTGTGATGGTGACTAGGAGGAAAGCTGCTCAGAGCGGCCGCTCCGCCCGCCGAGCGCAGGGGCCTGGCAGCCACCTCCAGGCCACAGAGCCCCTGCTCGTGGGACGCTGCCGGGCGGCGGCTGCCTCCTGAACTAAACAAAGCCCGAGGGCAGCTAAGCCCGCCAGACCCGGGCGGCCACGTGGGACACCTGCACCCAGCACAGCGACCGTTTCCTGTCAGCCGCCCCAGCTTGCAGGCTGGGTGCGTTTCCGGAATGACAGGTTGATAACTCAGCGATCGCGTGGTCACTAACTCTGTCCACAGGCTGCTCTGCTCACTGTGTATTGTGTCGAACCTCCTCAGAGGCTCCTCCGCGCCCGACCGGACGCGCCCGGGTGCGTGTCACGAGGAGACGTGCACAAAACCAGGGGAGGGGAATTACAGCGTCGAAAGGGATGAAAACAAGTGATTTGCTGTTAGAGCATTTCAAAAAGATCTGGAACACCTATGATTCGGCAAATGGAGAATAACTACAAGAAATAAGAAATCACGTAGTTGCCAGGGCAACGTGTCCCATGCAAGTGAACGAGTGCGGAAACCCAGCCTCCGGCCAGCAGGGTCCCCGCACGCGCCCTCTGCTTCCTGCGCCCGCCTGGCGGAGCGGACAGGCGCGCGGACGGGACCTGGTGAAGACTGAGGACCCGCGTCTCCCGGGAGACCAGCCTGACCGAGCAAATCGAGGAGAACAAGGCAGCCCCTTTCTGTCCTTGGGAGAAAACCTGTTCTGCGTCTGCTTCTGCAGCCAGGAGTGGGGTGGGGACAGTCAACAAAGGCCCCTGCTCAGGGAGGACACACTGTTTCCTGCTGTCACTGGGCCCATGAGTCACACCAGGCCCCTGCCTCCTTTATTGGTGCTGCCGGTTGGGCGAGCGCGAGTTGGAGCGCGGGCTGGGGGGCAGTGAGCTGCTGCTGGGGGCCCGCAGGGCGTGCGGGTCAAGCTGCTGACCGACCAGGCTGGTGTCCCCTGTCCCCAACTCTTCGCCGTTTTCCTCCTTCTGGCTGTTCTGCTGCTCCGGACACTCGAAGTGGACGCAGTGGAACACCTGATGAGAAAGGAAAGGGCCCCGTGAGTGACGGGCTGGTGTGACCTCAAAGCTGCCACAAGTCAGGACCTGTCCCGCCCAGCGCTGGGGCCACCACGTGGGAGTCAGGGAAGCCCTGGCCTCCCCCGCCCGCCCTGCCCCGCGCAGACCCCTGACAGCAACCAGGAGGCTGTAAACGCGTTTCCATCAGTCGGGACAAAAGCAAATGAACCTGTCCTCCAAAAGTTACAGACACCACATGATTCCTATAACGTGTCCACGCTGGATCACTCCATTTTTGCTTACTTTTGTCTCATGGACTCTTTTTCTTTTCAGATTAATGTATTTTTGCATTTGGCAGCTGGGTTGAAAGTCAGCAGTTGGTGGTGGTGCTGGCCGCCCGACTCTGTAAGGTGATGGACAGCAGTTCCTCAAATGTGTCGTCTTGTTATAAGGTCGAGCAAAATCCACTCCCACCGGGGCCAGGTGGGAGGTTTCCCTGTCCCCCCATCCGCCTGGGTTTTCTCCAGGGACTCTTGTTAGGTCCTCGGCGTGTCTGCGTGGCCGAGTGTGGCACGCATGAGCCCGCGACGCGGCGTCCTGCAGGGCTGGCATCTGCCTGGCACCCCGGGCCACCAGCACAGCTCCAGCCACCCTGACCTGGAACTGGGCTAACTGGGCAAACAGTGATCTTACTTGTTCTCATTAATTTTTCTTAGCTGTATGCGTAGGTCATGTGTATTTCAGTGTTTTATATGAGAAGTGTTTTGGTCTTTATTTGGTTTAGTGATGTTGTTGTGAGCAGAAACATGCCATAGAAACTTAATCTTTGTTGACGTCAATTACCCTGTGGTAAAATTGGTTTCATTAAACATCATTTTGCTTAAAGCCCAAGTTTCCAAAACCTGTTGCTGATGTTCGGTGAGGACTGACTCATACTCATGGTATACTGTAAATGAGGTGAATGCACGGCGTGAGAATCACACCTCAATAAGCTGCTATGAAACAAGAGCCAGGAGGGCGCTTCTCTTGAGCAAGGTCCTGCCTGCCGTATAATCCTCCCTGGCCCGCAAGGGCTGACGCACACCCCGCTGGGCGCCGTGCAGGGCCTGGGCTCCACCCTTACACGGCTTGGCCGGCCTGGCACACGTGCCCTCCGCCACCCGCTGGGAGCCAGGAGAGCTGGCCTGCCCGCTGCGTGCTGAACTCTGCCGGCGCTGGGCCAGCCCTGTGCGGACAGGGCACGGCGCTGGGCACGGCCCTCAGAGAACACGGTGACAGCGGCCCTGACCTTGAGAACACGCAGCATGGCTGGGCGCGAGGCACGTGACATGCCAGCGTGAGCTGCGGGTGCAGGAGAGAAGCGCGGTCGGGCGGGGTAGGGATGCCGGCCCGCCCTGCCCAGCCCGCACGCGGACAGTCCGCTCTCTGGGTGCCTGTCCCAGCTCTCTGAAGGGCAAGAGCCCCACCCTCTGCAGTGGGCCTCGGTCTGTGCTCTGCAGACTGACCTTCCTAGGAGCATGCTGGCGGTTTTAAGGGAATCAGTTTCCAGATATGCACATTTTGTATTTTCTAAACCTGCCAGAGAGTGTGCCTGAACCGACTGTGCCCTGGGCCACCTTGAGGACAGGCCCTGCCCTCACGCCCTGTACGGAGCTCGCAGCCCCCCTTGTGACAACTCCGAGGGTGACCTCTGTGTGCGAGGCCCTGGGTCCATCACCTCCTGGGACCTGTGAGGGGGCTCAGCCTGAGTGAGACGCTCCCAACTCAGAACAACTGAAGAGGAAGTGAGTGATGCAAATGCTTTCAAATGTAACTGGAACTTCTCCAGAATTATGAAGACATTTTCAAGACACACTGGCTAAAACCCATGGATGAAAGTTCTCCACACTTACTCTCAGAAAGAGCATATTGTGTCTGAGGGGACGATCTGATCAACAAAGCAAGAAGGTGACAGGGGCTGTGGGGACAGGGGGAGGGGAAGCTCTCCATGAAGTGCTAACACATCCTGAGGCTTTCTTTCTTCTCTCTGGCTTCTAGACTTCTAAATTAGTCAAAGGCTCCAGCTTTTAAATAAGATGATGCAACTTGTACAGCTGCTCTTGAACTTGGGTGCAGATGCCAAGAACAGACTGTAAGCGCATAACTGGACACGGCCGGCGGGCATCTGCACCCTGCGTGGACAGCCGCAAGGGCTGCACGCACAGCTGGCCCGCCCGGCGTTGGGAGAACTGGCCCTCACCCTTCCTTCCCAGGGGCCTGCTGGCAGGTGAGGAGCCACCGGACTTCGGACTTGCCAGTGTTGGTGAGTCCATGCCTGGGTAAGGCCTGTCTGGCTGCAGGATGAGGCACTGGTATCGGGTATGGGCTGGCTGGACACCTGTCACTCCACCTGAGGGAGCACGCAGTGGGGCGGAGGCGGCGAGACCACGGCCCCACCCTCCCGGGCCCTGTCCCTCGCCCACGGCACGAGCACGCGTGACTTACACACACGCCGCCTGCTGTGGAATCCAGTTCCCAGAGGAGACGAATGGTGGAATTACATTGAAAATATAAATTCTGCACTGACCTTCCTACATCACTATTTTTTCCATACACCCACTTCAATTCACTAATCGACCACTGTTTCAATTTCACATTTCAGACTCTCACGTGAAGACTAAGCGAGACCACGAGAGCTCCTGGCCGCCCACTCTGCTCGGCAGCGGCCGTCTTCTCTTCCAGGGAGCCGATCCCGCGCAAGGCCGGCGCCGGCCGTGCCCTCGCCTCCCCCTGCGGCCACCCCAGCATGCAGCGGGCACTGCCGCCTTCCCTTCCTTTCCATGGCAACAGGGCCTCACTCCGTCACCCGGGCTGGAGTGCAGGGGTGTCATCATAGCTCTCGGTAACCTCAAACCAACCCCTGGGCTCCAGCCATCTTCGTGCCTCGGCCTCCTGGAGTGCTGGGATTACAGGCGTGCGCCACCACCCGCGGCCTTTCCCTTCCTTTCTTAAAATAAAATCCCCCTCTTTACGCCCATCTGCAGGCACTTGCCTGTCAGGGCCAGACAGGTCTAGGTCAGACGGGACAACCTTTTATGGAGATTTGAAAACTATTTTGGGCCATCAGCTCTGCGCTGAGCTAGGCAGGGTAAGTTTGAGAATCTCCGTCTAGGTGGCAACTATTAATCAGTCTTCTCCATAGTTTAACATTCTGTGAGCTTTTGAAGCACCAAGACTTGGGGTGGGTTAACCACGTGGTCCTGCTGACCTGTGGGCACCCCTCTTTCCACCAGCGGACAGGGCCCTCGGGGGCCACACCCCGCACCCTTAACCCGCCTCCGCCAAAGCCTCTCCCAACCGGCTAGCAGCCATTCTCCCCAGTAATAGGACCCAGGGTCAAACCCGTCCCCACCGCCATGAACAATGCCTTTTCAGGACAGGCTGCAGTTCGCTGCCCTGCCCCCTTCTGACACCGGAGCTCTTTATCCCGCCCCATCGTGTTCTTTAATCGGTTATTTGTGTAATCCCTGCTCTCTCGCTCCATCAATAGCTCCGAAGCTGCTCCTCTGAGCCCCAGGCTGACACTAATCCCAGAATTGACTTACATTTGTCCTACTCCTTATTACCTTTTCTCAAGCTGTCCCTTCTCATACTGCATGGCTTTTCTCTCCTTTTGCTCTTGCAAGGTTCTCTCCAGTCCTGTTAATTTCCAGGCCAGTTCGTCCCCCACGGCCGAGCCTTCGGGCGCGTCCTGCCCCAGAGCCCACCCCTGCCTGCCTGGTCTATGGAGCTGTCAGCTCCGATCTGACTCAAGGACCGAGGCTCAGTCGTCCTTCCTCTCGCTCAGGGCCTTGCGCAGGAATAAACAATCAATAAAAACCCTAGATTGAGAAATAAAGTTAAAAAAGATCTCAGCATGGCCTAGCGCTCTCCGGAGAAGGGGCCTGTGAGGGGCAGGGCGGTCTCTGCTGCCTGGGGAAGCCGGGTAGCAGCTCTCGTCCCGGTGAGGGGCTTGAGGCAGGTGACGGGCGTCCCGGCTGGGGCAGGGCCCTCGCTGCCACCGTCACTCCCATCTCCAGCCGAATCTGCCTCTTGCCCGACTGGGGCCGTTTAACTGCACAACTGTGTCCAGCCCATTAGCCAGTCTGTCTGCAGATAATAATGCAAACGCCTGTTATTCCCAACACACCTAACACGACCGACAGCCCATCTCCACTGGCGGTTTTTGTGTTTTCCGACGGATATTTCTCCTTAAGAAATCGTAACTATTTCTCTCCCGACGCTGCGGAGCTCGGGGCAGGCTCTTCCCAGTTAAGGGGCCCTGGGAGCCCGAGCCCTAATGCCTGCTGCTCTGCCTCAGGGCCGCGCCGCCCGGGACCCCACATCCCAACTAACTTTAGAGCCGGTTCCGAGCCCTCCGCGGAGCCACACGGACTCTGCCGGATTCAAAGGCGACACGTGGGCAACAGTGAATCGCACTGAGTCACTAGCCGGTGGTGAAGATCCTAAGTGGAAAAGAGCGTCTTACAGACGGAGCGATGTGAAGAGGCAGACCCTCACGGGTGGCCGGGAGGAACAGGGCTCTGTGTGCGGTGAGCGCCACGTCTGCCGCGGGCGCGGCCAGAGGACGGGCGCGGCGTGCACGTGAGCAGGCTTGGAGGGCGCACATGCACAGTCCACAGCACGGGGACCGCAGGCCCTAGTCACGCCCTCTTCACAGGTGCCCGGCAGGTGCGCAAGCCACAAGCAAGGAGCCCTGGGGGCAGGGAGGAGGGGACCCAGCCAGCACGCTGTAGGCAGGGCAGGCTTCCTGGGGGAGGAGACATCTGCAGGAAAGGGTGGAGGAGGGAGGACTTGGTGCGGAAGGACAGTGGGGAGAGTCACCCACGCTGTCCGGCCAGAGGGTGGTGAAGCCACAGGCAGCCTGGGGAAGCCTGGAGCGCAGGAGGGCGGGCAGCGGGCAGGAGGCCAAGCCCAGGGACTCTGGACAAAGGAGGCTCCAAAAACTATTTCTTAAATTTAAAGAAGTTACAAAGGAA